GGGGGGGGGGGGGTAACCAAAGTAGCGTGACTTCATTTATTATGTCCTCCTTGTGCATGTCTTTATTCTTTAAAATAAGATAAAATTTAGACTAGCTACATACAATAGTTGTAATTTAATAAAGTTTTTAATAATAATATTTTTTTTCTTTTTAAATTTAACACGCATCAATTTTGGAGTAACTTTATTATTTAAAAAAAAAAAATCAATATTCAAAACTTAACATCCACCCCACACGCTGAATCACATAATGGGTAGGCGTATGGGGTCGTCCATAAAGTACGTCACGCTCCGGAAGAGGTGGTTGGTCTAAGTCTAAGAGAGAGTGTGCAAGTTGGTGACACAGGTTGAAAAGGAGGGGGGGGGGGAGAGTAAAGATCGTGTGTGACGTCATAGTTTTATCATAAATATAATAATATCTGAAATGGACCACAATTTTAAAATTTCTGTTGCGATGGATTTATTCTGACAGCTGATGTCACTTGTATACATTAAATAGTTTAATAGTGGGGTGTGTTTTGTTAGATTGAATTTTAATTTGTTTTTAATTTTTAAAACAATTTTTAGTTGCGAAAATATGAAGTTATTGGTGGGGGGATTTCTGAGATTTGTGATAGATCGTGACAGGGGGGAGGGGGTAAAAAATTGTACTTAATGGTAAATGGAAGGCTCTATGGTCTATAGACTGCACCTAATTTTTAAGTCTTACTTTATGCGATAACTGTTAATGTTAAAATTTATATTCTTCTGATATTTTGTTTTGAGTGAGAAAAAAAGCTTGTCTTGTTTCTGGAGTTGTTAGGGCAAACGTTTTGGAGATGTTCGTTTGGGAACCCGGGAACCCTCGTAAAGTGTCATTTACACAAGGTCACGCATTCTAAAAATAAGTCGAAAGACAGAAATCACGCCCACCGATCTGCTACGAGCGGCTAAATGCCGAAATACATGGTAGTGATAGAGAATATAAAGTGTTAAACAAATATTACATTTAAAACGACAAAAAATATGTAAGCCAGCAGAATAAATCTTAATCAATGAAGCAGATATATCAAAGAAAGGGATAAAGAAGGCAATATGTTAACATAAATACTATGACCTTGTTACGTGTGTAAGAAAAAAAACATTTCATATTTGGCCTCAAAACTTTATTATTAAACTGCTGTTACCTACTACTAACTCAACTGTCAACGTGTTACGTTGTTAATGGTCACAGCCATGGAATTTATAGTTACAGTGTGTAGATTTATAAAAAAAATAAGTATAGTTAGCTCAAATGAATATACAGCCTTTCTGACTTAAAGCCCAAACCTACTTCAAATGTTTAATGAAACATGGAAATAATGGTTGCAGTTTAAAGAAATGGGTATGGATATGGATTTTTGTACTGTAAAGTTTGTAAAGAACCAATTAATTTAAATAAATTACTATACTACCGAATAGTAATAGATAGAATAAAGTTAAAGTCTCGGCTGTGTTGTCAATGTTTTGCACTGTTCAGATCAGAATCAAACTGATGAGAGTGACTGTGAGACTTTTCTGTTGTTGAATGAGTGGTGAATACTAACTTAGACTTAGTAATCATAGTATCGTTAGTGTCTAGTGTCATGCCTATATAATTTAAAATATAATATATTGTGTTGGTTTGGCTACTAATACCAAATGTATCATAATAACTTGTAAGGTATAATATAATAAAACTATAGTAAGTTTAGTGTTATAAATTTCAAGCAATATTTAATATGTGCTTGTTTACTTAACTGTGTGAACCAGAAATAACAATCTACAAAGATATAAATGAACTAAAAAAGACAAATGTTTAACTTTAGTTTTAGGCACACTCATACTGGACCTAGTCTTAATTAGTGAGTTTACACCACGCCATCCTGTTCCTATATTAATTAATAAAAAACATATAGTTATAAAATATTTTAGATACTGGCAAAAGGGCCAGGCTAACGAGTTCACAGTCTAAATAATTGTTTTTACGATTTCTCTGTGTTGGTCTGTCAAAGTGAAACAAAACACTGCTTAAAACTCACTACTGACATATATTCAAATTCATGTTAATTCATGCCAATTGTCTTTAGAGATGGGAAGCCCTGGTAAAGATATCATGAACCGACCTAGTAGAACCAGAAAGGTAACTGGTTGGCAGAAAACCTTCTTTTTGCAGAGGAAATCATCCAGTTTGTAATCCCTGGTATAGAATTAGAGGGACACCTTCAGGATGTCAGAAAGTGAAATGCAAAAGAGTAAAGTAGTAAATTCCCAAAATACTTTACTATATACTGCCATGCACCTTCACATCATTTTTAAGGCCTATAGCCATAGCACAAGCATTTTTATTTTAAAGTTTTAAAGTTATCTTTGGACATTAATACAAAAGTTTTGTTTATACTTTTATCAACAAATTTTCTGCAAAATTATTATATGCAGAACCAATTTTGTATACAAAACAATACTTGTTGTGTATAATGGGCTTTGTTAACATTCAAGGTTGAGATGATTTAAATCAAACCAATAATTACATTTTAAAAATTGGTTTTAATTATATTTATTTATCTAAATCTAGTTATATGTAAAGACCCTTGCTAAAAAAAGAACTTCTGTTTTGTTTTTATATATTGTTAGTCACTTATTTCTTATCCTATAATCATGAATGCACAATTTAAAAAAAAATAAATATCATTTTTATTTCAATTAAACTTTTCAGTTTTGAGAAATTATAAATTGACTTGGGGTTGACAGAGCTGGAATTAGTTTATCTATTCAAACTATTTGATCAGAAGGTTTTAGTGGAATCAATTGACAAATGACTGTATATAACATTGAACCAAGACAACATTTTACAATAATATTAAACAGAATAGAATGAGAAATTTTAGTTAAGAAAAAGTATGAAAATCCTTTTAAAGTTTTTAAATTAAGATTATTATACTAATTTTTTAAATATTAATTTACTTAATTTAATTCAATGTGTTACAATTTAATACAATTTAAATCCAAAAAATTGATTTTAATAATATTAAACTACATTGTGTTTAATCTTTTTAAAAATAAGTTTACTCCAAAATGTAAGCAAATCAGAAAAAAGGAGGAGAAAATATATTGAAATAAAAAAAAATGGATATACAGACCAATAACCACATTACATTTAATCTTTATTAACACTAGTTACTTCAAAATCTAAAGCAATCCTTTAAAAAAATTAGAAAAAAATTTGATGAAAATAAAAAAAAAAGATTTGATTCAAATTTAACAAAATACAATTTAAATTTAAAAAACTAGATTTAATACTATTAGCAATATTTATTATTATGTTACATCTTTATAATTATTAATCAGCTTCAAAATCTTAATAACCACTTTAAAAGAAATGAGGAAAATATAATAATTTAAAATTAAAAAATCCTCTGTGTATCAAATGTATCCGAATTATTATTTTTGTAAATCCTTATTTTTTATCAACATTGATAACATGAATATTTTATACTTTTTTACTTTAGAATATTTAACTTATAATTACATTGATTTTATCAACTCTATTAATATAAATATTTTATACTTTTTTTACTTTAGAATATTTAACAAAACATTGCTTGTGACCGTGACCAGGCAGGAAATGCTCAAGTTAATCAGCCGACAAAACAGAGTCAAACATCTAGTAATTCTTCTTGGCGTTGCGATACTTGTTTGGAACTTAATCATGTATCGCAAACTGTCACGCAATAAAATAACTTTGGTAAGTAGGAAATTGTCCCAGTTTGATGCCATGGCTCTTTTATTTTAACAACAGTTTCTTCCAGTGTTATTTACAACACCTTTTGTCTTAATTGCTAAGTTGTTCCCCCTTAACTTGGAATTTTATAAAAATTTTGTCTAAAAACTGTATGTTGTACCATGTTGAATTTTTGTATCTTTTTACCTCATCAAATTTTGGTCACTTGGTATATTCTCAGAGCACAACCCAAGAGAAAGAATTGTTATTTAGGCTGGATGACCTGGAGCAGAAGTTACTCAGGCAGATAGAAGAAAATGGGGAACTACTAGAGAAGTTACAACGTGCAAGTATGTGCAAAAATAAGCCGTCTTGTGATCTTTTTTTCTCAAAACTGTGTCAGTTAAGCCCAAAGCTGCAGTGTTGGTTAAGTTTGCCATGTTGTGGCTTTAGGTGGAAGTTTGCCTACTGTCATTTAAAAAGAAAATAATTGTAGATGCCAGGCATGTAGAGTAGGATTTTATGAATTAAAAAAAATATATATTAATGAGACATCCAAGTTTTTTTTTTTATTAGCGCCCTATCACGCCCCTGAGTATTACATAAAAATTTCCTCAGTATCTATTGCCAGTTGTGCCCAAAAACAAATAATAGTTCTACATTATTCTTCAAATTTTGTAACTGTCACTCTCTGAGCACAAAAGTCTGAGGTCTTGTCTGAGTAAATAATGTTGAATGTGTCTTGTATAGATGTAAATGAGTCTTGTGTAGATGCCAATGTGTCTGGGTATTGATGCAAATGTACATTCATTCTGTTATGATAAATGTCTATCATCATGTCTTGTGTTTGTTTTTAATGTAAAAATAGTTTTTAATGTTTCACACTAAGCATACAGTTGCATATTTGAGGGAATAAGGTGTGCATGATTGGTACAAATGCAAATGTGTCGGGTGTGGATTTAAATGTGTCAGGTATGGATGCATTTGCATCTAGTATGGATGCACATGTACAATCATTCTGATATAATAAATGTCCATGATCTTTATCTTGTGTTAGTTTTTTTCCTATTCATCTTCTAATGCTTCACACTGAGCATACAGTTGCATATTTGAGGGAATAAGGTATGCATGATTGGTACAGGTACAAATGTGTCTGGTGTGGATTTAAACGGTGTCAGGTGTGGATTCAATTGTGTCTGGTATGGATGGGGGATTTCGATAACAAAGTACTATCCAGCGACAATCTCATCCAGACTCATCTGTACAAAAGCTATTATGTTGTTTTTGTCTGAGAGCACAAAAGCCCAACAAATTGGCTTTGTATTGATCTACTGTTTTACGTGTGTTTTTCTTTAGTCCTGCAGCAATGCTGATTTCTTAAAAACATTAACAAAATATTTTAGTCATGATCTAATGTGTTGATTTTTAACGTCCAGGCTTATTGAGTCGACAAGTTGGCGCCAGCTTGCGGGCAATATCCCAGTCAATATAATATAACACCCTGAACTTAAATCAAATGCACTGGTTTTGCAGAAAACATTAACAGTGAGGCAACGTTGAATCTGGAACAAAGAATACGGATTTTAATCTGTTCAAATCCATTTTACATTTTATTGATTAACTTGGCCTTAGTCAGTTACCACTGTAAAATATCTTTTGATTAGACATATTAACCCTTAGGGGATGGAGCCTTTTCGGGCTGTCTGTGCTGAAAAGACTTAGCACTTTTTACGAACTCGGCACTCACATTGCAAAAAAATGTATACAAAAATAAACTTTTTATTTTACATATATAAAACTATATGTATATTCTTGTAGAAAATTGAATAAGCAAATACAATATTAATAAATTAAACTTAAATTTCAACATTTATGTAAATGAGCTATCCTGATTTGCATGATTTAAGCGTACAATTTTTTGTTAAACTGAGAATAAACATGATTTTACCGGTGTAAATTGTGGGAATTTTTTGATGGATGAAGCACATCCTAACACATGTGTTTTGGGAATAAGGCCCATGGAGGCCCTTCAGACACCCCTGGCATAGAGCTCTACTCCTTTTCCTGCCCCCCGGGGTACTTTTCGGAGGCTACAGACAGAGCAGTCCTTTTCACCATTGTGCACCCAACTACGGTTTATTTGAGCTGGGTGTTACTGAGAAAGTTGTCTGCATACTTATTAGTTATTATTAGTCTCTTTAACAAACATTTGAATGATATTTTGTGTAAAAATTAGCATAAAGTACTCAACTGGGGTGCCTATCCCATGAGGCATATTTATAGCCTCTATTTTTTCTAAAAATTCATAGGGGTCATCTCTATCCAATTCAGAACCCCGAATCCTAAACCAAGGATTCACAACATTATCGTAAACATAATCATTTTGTTTGTCTTCATTACTTTCCTGGTTTTTTTCATCAGTGTCAGTGTCAGATTCACTGCTAGACAGCGAGAAATCAGAATCACTAAGCACAAGTTGATCAGAGTCGCTGTCAGACATGTTTGAATTTCACGATATAACTACACACACAAAAAAAAATTCCTGCACACAATTTAATTTAGTTCACCATCAACGAACGCCACCATTACAATGCCGGGATGTGCAGGAATACGTAAGAATAATTTTGATTCGCTGGTACAACGCCAAGCCAGCCAATCGGGAGGCTCAATTTATGGGGCCGATGGTTCGGACTTTTGTCTTTCTCGCCTGTCAACCTTGGGCCGATAGATCGGCCGGTACGTCTCCAGAGGGTTAAAATAATTTTGTTTTTGAAGTTTACTTTACATTCTATTTTTAAAAAAAAAAATATTTCTTTACTTGATTGTGAGAGGCATATTTTTCTGGTAGCTGCAGCCAATCGGCTGCTCTGATACTTCTTGCTTTGAGATGTTTTTAGTGTCAACCGCAAAGGACAGAAAGTAATGTTAATTATCTAGCCCGGTGATTGAGTTTGGGAAGTCACTGTGGTATCCTTTATATCATCTTCCATTCATTTTTTGTTCTCATCTCTTTCATCTTAAACAGACCCATTTCCTTATCTTCCGAGGGGAAGCAGAGAAAATTACCTCCCAGTTCTAGTTATGGCCTGCAACAGGGTGTCAGTCAACAGAGCATTGGATAAGTTAATACAGTAGGTCATAGTGATGTTTGCTTAGTCCATTGTATAACAGTAGATCTTAGTAAGGTTTGCCTAGTCAATTGCACTACAGTAGGTCATAGTAATGTTTGTTTAGTCCATTTTACTTCAGTAGGTCATAGTAAATTTTTGTTTAGTCCAATAATTAATTAGGCTAAATTTTAGTGTCATATTTCAGAAGATTAACAAGGTGAATTAAGATTTCATGCTTCAGATAGATTAACCAAGTTAACATGAGATGTTTTGTTTCAGATACAGGTCCCCACCTGCCAGATTTCCCATTGTGGTGAGCCAAGATTGTGGACACCAGCAGACAGCCGATGTCATAAACACCTATGTTGTACCACATAACATTACACATATCAAAGTAAGTACTTGGGATCAACATTACCCATCTAAAGGAAGTTCATTCTATGGACATTGCACATATCAAAATAAGGTGGGGGGGGGGGTCAACATTTCACTTATCAAAGTAATTCTATGGGATCAATGTTACATGTATCAGAATAAGTTCATGGGATCAGTGTTACATGTCAAAGTAAGATCAGGGTCAAAGCCAATTAATATGAATTTCCTTGATCATATCTTGTGTTAATTTTTTTCCTCTTCATCTTTCAATTTTTCACACTAAGCCTACAATTGCATTTTTGAGGAAACAAGGTGCACATGACATTACTCACAAATATTCTTGGTTTTCTGACATCTTTCCCCCTCTATCATTAGGTACTTTTACAACCTTGGTATCTATTTTTACAACACATATAAAACTTTCAAGCAATTGTACCAATGTTTGTATTAACTATCCCTATTTTAAAAAATGCATTCAATAAATTTAAAAAATAATGAAAATTTAAATTATTTTTCTTTTATTAAAAACAAAATTAAAGAAAGCAAGGCAAGTGTTTCATGATAGAAATAGGATTATTGTTAGCAGATGATGTAAGTGGATATAAATAATTTTAACATATTTAAATGTTTAAAAATAACTACCAAATTGGGTGCAAGTAAATAAATATTGATTATCAAGTATGACAATTTCTGTTTTTACAGAAAACTCATATATATTTTATAAAGGGAACCCATTAAGTCTAAGATTTTTTCTCTGTTGTATAAATCTAATAAAGATTTGCACAGTATTTATTTACTTTAAGTAACCATTGCAGTTTTAACAGAATGCTGAGTTATTAGCATTCATATTGCTGCAGCAAAAACATGTGCATTATGAACAAAGTTTGCCACCACCTGATTGATTCTGATGAAATAAAAAGACTAAAGCTATCAGGTCTTTTTATTTTATCTGCATTTTGTTTTGATCAGATTAAAACAAATTTGACTATTAGCCTAACACTAGAAAATTCATTAAGTTGAAAGAATAATGCTCTCGGCAACTGGTTGTTCTCTTCTAATAACCACATTGTTGTCCACATTATTTGTATTTATTCCAAAGCTGATACTCGGTATCTTCTCATTTTTATCACATCAAGATTAACTTCAATAATTAAAGAACAATTTATACTGTTTAATTAGATGTTGAATGTGCAAGAGCCAATAATTCATTGACAATTTGTGTTGTTCCATGCCGGTGCTGTGTGACATTTATGAAATGGGCCTGTCCTATGCTTTCCTGCTTCACTTGTTATTCAATGTGGCTCCTCCAAGGACCACATTTGCATGCCTGTCCTTTTAATCTGGTCCACAGGAAATTAAACTGTACCTGCTAAACAGCAGTTTATTCAGTTTTTTATTTTAGAAACTTATACTGTATAGGCCTGTACATTGGCCTAAATTTAAACAATTTATGAAACCCAAAATCCAGTCAGTAAACTCCTTTTATCCAGTTACAGTTCACACGGTACTTGCAGATGATAAGTCCCAATGAGTGTTGCAAATTTTGTTCATCAACTGGAATGTCCAGTTTGGAAACCAATGATGATGGTGATTGATTACTTATATAGCAGTTGTGTCCATGTTATTTTTAGGATGCTCAAAGCGCTTTGATGTCATAAACTCTAAAATCAAGTTGGCATAGTTGCCAAAAAATTGCAGCTGCAATTGTTGTTTACGTTCACAAAGTATATCCAGCCTTGTTGAAGTAAATTAAACTTGAAAGATGATAAAGGTGAAGGTACTCCTTATCTTGTCATGCTCTGGACAGGTTTCAGTAGGTAGCTCTGGTTTTAAGGCACGAATAGAATCGCCGTGATGATTTGGTTGCCAATATCCTAGTTACCACTCTGATACTGTGAAATGATTATAAAATATAAGCATTGCATTTAGGCTTAGATCTTATGCTTAAAAAAAAAAAAACTGAACACAAATAAATGCATTATTCTATAAAAAGTAGTAAATTTTCAAAATTAAAAGCTTTTTTTTAATCAAGAATTAATGTTAGACCTATATGTCATTGCCTCTGCTTAGCATATTCAATGTAAATGAATGAAATTTCAAACAACTGTGCCTATGAGAAAAAATAAAAATAAAAAGTACACTTGATTAACTACAACAAGAAATTAAGTTTAAATACTCATTTAAAATTTTGATGAGATCCACAGTTACAGCATATCAATCTGAATATAGTTCTTTCTACCATTGCCACAAAATTTGAGTGCACTTTGACCCTTCATAACGAATAAAAACATCTTACCTTCAAAATCAAACTTTCGATCCGTTGAAAATGCACAAAATTATTAGCAGTCTTGTCTTTTTCTTGGTTTTATTTGGTTAGTATCACTTCTTGACTTGAAATATAATCAACAAAATCATTGGAAGATAAATGTTGAGCCTTTGTTGCATCATTTTGTGCTACCAGCCTTCAGTTAAATTTGACAAGAACAAAACCAAAAAAAACAACTCAATTTTAAAAAATAAAAAATCTAAATTTGCGCTTAAAATGGATATTTTAACAAATTTATCCATGGAATTATGATTTATGTTAAAAATAACATTGGTATCTGAAAAGGTGAGAAAAACAAGATGTAACCCAACCGTCACTCGTTATCAAAAAGTCAATCTAACATACTTTGAGAGTTAACCCTCACTTGACACGATGTAAACTTTTGATAATTTAACAGATATCATTTCTTCCCCAGTATCAATATGTCAGCACCCCAAGGATATTGACATGCCCATTTTGTCTTTCACTTAATAATTTTTTTGTCTACGTTCAATTATTTATAATTTTTTCAAAATCAATATTCATATGTCTACGAGAGAGAACAGCAACCTAAAAGCTATTATAGATTAATATGTTTGACCTAACCCTCCCCTCCCCAGCAACCAGATCTCAGTGACATCCAAGTCCCACCAGCACATGTCAAACTTGTCAACTACTACAAGGTGTCCAGGCACTACAAGTGGGCCCTTGAGCAGATGTTTATGGTTTTTAATTTCTCAGCCGTTATCATTGTTGAAGGTGCGTGGCATTCATTTTCAGTTATTGAACCCTTTTGGAAACTTTTTTTCTCCTTCTTCAACATATAAACTTTAGTGATGTGTGATGATGTGTAGATGAAGTCAAGTTAATATAGCTAATTTATGTTTTATTGATAATTCTTGCAAGTGAAGAAAATGTAATCGAAATGTTTTTATATTTGTGCCATGAAAATATTGGGTGCTAAATCCTGCATACAGAGTCAATTGTTTTTGTTTTATTGGGACTCTCCAATATTCAATTGAAAAATAAAATGCCAGTTATATTGGCTAGTGTATAAATAAATAAATACATATATATAGAAAGAATATGTCAATGACATTTTACTTTATTATTGTATTGAGAGTCTGAGATTAATCTATTGCTTACACTGCCACCATCTAAGATTAATCTATTGCTTACACTGCCACCATCTGAGATTAATCTATTGCTTACACTGCCACCATCTGAGATTAATCTATTGCTTACACTGCCACCATCTGAGATTAATCTATTGCTCAGATTTCCATCATCTTAGATTAATCTATTGCTCAGCTGAGTCTGCCAACATCTTCGATTAATCTATTGCACAGACTGCATAATTTTTACCATCTAATTTCATTTCTCTTGAGTAATTCTAATGGGACCAGATGTGTGTGATTGGCATGAGATCTAAAGGCACATATTGTGTGTGATTGGTTTTGGTTAAGTCAGGTGGCATCATGTGCTGATTCATAGTTGAGTTAAAACAGCATTCAAGTTTCTTCCTTCCACTGGTGAGGTCAATGAGAACTATGTCAATATTGTATGTATTGCTGTCAACAAAATCAATACTGTATGCAATACAGTAGTATCTCGACTTTCGACCGTCCGAATTTACGACCAAAATCACTAACCATATTAGATTTCAGATTTATTTCTGCCTCAATTATCAGTCGAAAGGCGTTGTCTGCAATCATCAGTGATCGTTAACTAAGGAAAGGGAGGCATGATGCTATGCTGCTAGCCGGCGGCATCAATTTGTAAGAAGTAACATGATCACACTCGATAACCCTAGGTCCATTGAGTTCAGACAAAGCTCACCATGTTTATTAAAAAACCAACTCTGGTACCCCAACTGCTGCCTTAGATGATGACATTAATGATCTGCAGCCAAGCACCAGTAGCGAATAAAATGTTTCGTACACGTTTGTATATTTTGATGTTAATGACTATTCGATGTGTTTTGCGATTTGGGAAATGTTTTCTATAGTATTTTCGACACCTGTATTATGTATGTTTTGCAAAATATTAAACCAGCTGTATATGTAAAGTTAATGCTGTGTTTTTTCTTGAGGATGTAAAAATAAGAAACAAATGGTGTAGAGATGATACAAATGGCATAATATGAACATCGAAAATTATGATTTATAACAATTAATAAAAGAAATTTATGATATAATTTAACGTAAATATTTTTTTAACATCACTTCATATTGCTGTACACATAGTGTACTCCACTTATGACCAAATTGTGTTACGACCGGTCTGTCTGAACCGATCGTGGTCGTAAGTCGAGCACTAGCTCTACAGTCAACAATATCAATATTTTATGTAATGCAGTCAACAATATCAATGTTGTTTACAATACTGTCAACAATGTCAATATTGTATGCAGTGCTGTCAACAAGAGCTGTATGTATTATTTCTCAGCAAAGAAAGACAAGGTACTATTGATTTAATTGTGAGCCAGTTAAAACTTTTCCACTTCATTTCCTCCGATTGATTTATTCATTCTTTTATTGATTTTGCTTGTTTCATTAGTTGGCTGAATTGATTTTATCACATTGTTTTGTCTTAAGTTTTCATTCTGTGGAAGAATTTTTTTTTTTTTCATGAATGAAAGATAAAGGGAGGGTTAGAAAAAAAACACCACCTCAAACTATTTTAATTAACAGTTCCAATTAATTACTTCTTAAGAAAATCATAGTTACATAATCTTACATCATTTTATGAAAGCATGGACCTTGATTAAACAAAAAGTAATAATGAAACAAGGTACATTATCAGTTGTTCAGTTGAATTATAATCTGTTCTGTTCCTTTCTCACTATAATTTAAGGAGGTCAATATAAAACTTTGAAATATGTCTTAAAGGCTATATTATTCTGCACTTACTTTAACCTTCCTTCTGTGCTTACAGATGACCTCGAGGTGGCCCCTGACTTTTATGAATATTTTTCTGCTGTGTATCCCCTGTTAAAAAATGACTCTTCTCTTTGGTGCATATCTGCGTGGAATGACAATGGCATGGGCGGGAAGATCTCGGGAGATTCAGGTAATGTGGTATGTATGTCAGTAGGGCGGGAAGATCTCTGGAGATTCAGGTAATGTCATATGTATGTCTGTAAAATGATGCCGGCATGGGCGGGAAGATCTTGGGAGATTCAGGTAATGTCATAGATGTGTTTGTGAAGTAACCAGAATGCTGGTTAAGTTGCTTGTTTTGTGTATATTGATCTGTACCCAGCAGAAAACACGTACACACCCACATATCATTTATATAAAAACATGTAAAAAAGAAAACTTGTTAGTGGTTTTGTTACACCAACGTTCTACGTCATGGATTGACGGTTTTTGACCAAACTGGGAACACATATCAATCATTGTCCAGAATGAAATACTCGGGGTAGGGGCGGGGTGGGGATGGGGGGCTTTGAACTTAACAAAATATTCCGTTTGGGAACAGAGACCCACAATGTCTTTATTTTCTAATATGAGGTAAATAAATATAATCTATTTTACTGACATTTTACTGATATTCTACTGATATTTACTGATATTTGATTGATGACTGAATATACAGTTCAGACTCTCATAGGGGTGTAAATTAATTGAATAAATAATGAATGATCGTCAGGTGATTCAGATGGCAAGGGCTTTCAGTGCCAGTTGGCAGGATACTGTCATTGACCAGTGTCACTGTTGGACTATTGATTTGATAAGGATTTTTTTTAAAAAGAAAGGTCAGATCCCTTGACCTTGGCTTACTGGTTGCATATATTCCTCCCAGCTCTCCTGCACAGAACCGACTTTTTCCCAGGGCTCGGCTGGTTGCTGGATAAAGAACTCTGGATGGAGCTAAGATCAAAATGGCCGGCAACGTGAGTTATCTTTTTTCTAAATAAAAACAACGCATAAATCATCATTGAAGAACCTGTGAAGTTATGGACATGTCCTGAAATTCCTGTTTGCTGCACATGAATTTGTCTGGTAAAAAAAAAGAGCATGCATCTGTGCGGTTGTGACCTGGCGCCGCTTAAACACAAGACTTAAAAAGTGTTTTTCAAGCGCAAGAAATCAGCCATCTCACACCACGGTCTTGAGAGGCAATCTAGTCATTTCATAACCTATCATTCCTCATCCAATCATTCCTTATTCAATCATTCCATTTTCAATCATTGCTTAGGTTCTGGGATGATTGGATGAGGCACGCAGACCAGAGAAAAGGCAGGCAGTGCATTCGTCCAGAAATATGCAGGACCAAGACTTTTGGTGAGAAGGGTGTTAGCAAGTAAGTGGTGCACAAAACTTTCAGGCGCAATGCAGTAGTTAGAAAAAAAAAAAGCGACCTTATCCCTAGTGTATTGCATGGTGAGAAAAAAAAAGCGACCTTATCCCTAGTGTATTGCATGGTGAGAAAAAAAAAGCGACCTTATCCCTAGCGTATTGCATGGTGCCCTGTTAGTGCATGGCCCAATCTGTTGGTTACACTTGTAAACCGCATGAGGGATTAGTCAGGCATGTGCATGAACATTGTTACTGTAAAACTGCTCTTTATTGTCAACCGATCAGACTTGTTAACTTACTTTAAGTCATAATAAAACACTAGGGGGGTTGTTTTAAAAAAAAAAAAAAAAAAAAACATTTTTATAAAAAAACTTAAAATAATCTGTTGGTTACACTTGTAAACCGCATGAGGGATTAGTCAGGCATGTGCATGAACATTGTTACTGTAAAACTGCTTTTTATTGTCAACCGATCAGACTTGTTAACTTACTTTAAGTCATAATAAAACACTAGGGGGGTTGTTTTAAAAAAAAAAAAAAAAAAAACATTTTTATCAATAATCTTAAAACTTTTGGTAATGTGTTTTAATAGACGTTATGGAAGATTTTTTTTTCTTTTTCTAAAGAAAACACAGATGGCATGGCACAGGTCTAAAAATTGCATTTTTGGGCCATCTGTAAATGATGTCACATATCTAGGTGGGACGGGATAAAAAAATCTCCTAAAAAGCGTGACATGATTGATGTCCGTTCCCTCCCCCCCCCCCCCCCCCCCCCCCCTTTTAATTTTATTTCCTTCTTTTTTGCCATGTTGATTTTTAAAGAGTTTATATATGTTTTATTTAAACTTTGTTTTTCAAAAAAGATCCTTTAAAAAAATAAATAAACTTAAACTTGGTTTACCCCTCACAAATATTCTATGTGCATGCCTGCAGCATGAATAGTAGTCTATTGGTAAGTATCTTTGCATAAAGCATTTACATTGGTTCAACAGGTGAAACCTGGTAAAGGAAATGTTTTACTAAATATGGAGTGGGTCCTTAACTCTTAACACCATTAAAATACTGTGTTTTGGGATTTTTCTCCCCTATATTACCAGTCCAAAATGTCACATCAAGATAACAGTTTGGGGAGCACTGGAGTGGAACTCTTCTTTTATTTCTTACATTATTTTTTTGTTAAAATTATGTTTTTGTTGTTGCTGGGTTTGTTATGAAATCAAAATAAATAACGGAGCCATCTTGATGAAGGAGCACTGTGATGAAATACCCCTGAGCAGTCCAACTGTCCACTTGATGGTAATAAAAAGCCACCAGTGCCCCCATGATTCTAAGAGCATTAATGTTTCGTATGCTTTGAATACTGTTTCAAATCGACATTCACCCAACATTGGGTGGACAATGTATGAGAGGGTGGATCACATTGTTATTACCTTCATTTTGATCTTCTTCAATAGATAGTGGAACAGGAAAGGTTTAGGCTTGATAAAGAAAAGAGAGGTGGACAATTGTTTTTATTATTTACTTCACGCAGCAGCTTTAACGAAGCCCTGAATATGTTTTCCATCCATTTCTTCCCTTGATGGTTGAATGGCAAGGACATTCCCCAAGGACATTCCCCAATGATAAGGACTTCCCCAACATCAGCAATGGCGTAGGTCCTTGTGCTCCTCCATTCTTTGTCCCCCTGCTCACATATTCTCCCCTACAAAGCCATATGTTTCTGTCAACCAGCCCCAACAAAGCCACATATGTCTAGAAAAAAGCCCCCTATAAAGCCATATGTATCTAGGAACAAGCCCTCCACAAAGCCATATGTGTTTAGAAACTAGCCCCCTACAAAGCCATATGTGTCTAGAAAAAAAATCCCTTTGAAAGGAATAATACAAGCTAGACTTGAATGTTTCTCTGTAATGCCATGTAATGACTATATTATTTCTACAGTGGGGCTTTCTATGCAAAATATCTCCAGCACATAATTCTTAACAGTGAGTTTGTGCCATTTTCAAAGCTGGATCTGTCATACCTGGAGAAGGTAGGAAACACAGTTCTAGATGGTTACGAAACACTGTTCTAGATCAGATCTAGATCTTTTGAAAACACAGTTCTAGATTGTTAGGAAACACAGTCAGTTCTAGGTTTACAATGATCAAATTAATGACCAATTTATGATCAATTATTATAAATTTATAGAAAGTAAGACAATTTAGCCTCAACACACTGTGTCACATTCTGGATGCCTGCATTAAGGGAGGTAGGGAGGGCGTACAAAACATTTGTAATGTGTAAGAAGCTCATCCACAAAATATAATGTGTAAGTAGTGCATCCACAAAATATAATGTGTAAGCTCATCCACAAATGTAATTTGTACGTAGTGCATCCACAAAGTATAATGTGTAAGCTCATCCACAAAATATGTGTAAGTAGTGCATCCATGAAACATAATGTGTAAGCTCATCCACAAAATGTAATGTGTAAGTAGTTCATCCACAAAATATAATGTGTAAGAAGGGCATCCACAAAATATAATGTGTAAGCTCATCCACAAAATGTAATGTGTAAGTTGTTCGTCCACCAAAGCAGCTGCAGTCTTGAGGAATGAACAGAGATAAAATGCACTTATTTTATTAGCCTATAGGACCTTTTTTTCCCCCCATTTTCAAATTTCAAATGTTTACCCATAGAATCTATAAGTACCAGAAGGTAAGGAAAGAATCATTTCACAACCAATTCAGATTTCTTGGACCCACACTGATTTTGTCATGTTTCACCATTCAATGAAACAGTTAATCCCCTACAAAGCCTACTGAGTATTGATCACCATCAAATTTTAATCTTCTGTTGATCACCACTGAGTTTAATGGACGGATTGACTGCTCAGTGCGAGTCATGGGTCAAGAGCAAACAAACTTCCTGTAGGTTTAAATATCAGATGTGACACCAGCCGTTGTGTTGTAATTATCTGATGACTTCCCTTGTTTGATCATGGAGTCCACCTTCCTGTGGACCCACATTAGCCAATGTGTGGGGGTTATTTTAGGACCCATTGAATTTTTTTTTCAGTGTCAGACGTCTGATGATATGATAGAGTTAAATAGAATATTTTGATATTTTAACTTATTTTCAAGCTAATTTCAATTTTTATTTTACTTTACCTTACTACTACTACTATTATTATTAATAGAAGTTCTTGTTCTCCCTACATCAGGGATGAGATCATTTGCCCTTTGAATATGATTACTTTAAATGAAGGCATCAGTTGACCTTAGTTCTTTGTTTTATATTAAATCAAATAACACCATTTCCTTTGTTTACTATGTATTTCTTAAAAAGTAACATCCTCTCATACTACAAATATTTTATTGATCTATATTTGATTTCTTGTTAAATTTTGTATTATTATTATTAGTCATTGAACAAAGGCTCCACTTTGCACAGATTGATATAATCAAAAGGGAGGTAACACTTTTGAAGCAGATAAAGGACACAGTTGGACCTTAATCTTCAGTGTCAGAATTATTTCACTTTGTTTGAGATAGGTGGTGTAAAAATGGTGTGGCACGTTTCTCTGTGGGGCAAGGTTAATGGCATCACACTAACACAGAGCTAACAAATTGGTTCTTGGAACAAACAAAAACACATTTTATTGTCTTGTATTTATTGATTATGTGGCCAATAACAACATTTGTGGTCTTGCGTCTTCAACAGTTCAATCTATGTAGTCTTTGGTGTTATCTTGTTTAAAGCATGGCATGATGAACTAAGTCAGATATTTGTAGGTGTCTATTACTAGCTGTAGAGTGTTTTGTTGGGCAAGAATATATGATTTAGAGCAGTTAATATTACCAATATAAACATAATGGAGAAATTTGAGGTGTTGAAGTTTTTTTAAAATTGCTCAGTCAAATGCTATAAATCATTTGGTTGTCATAATAATACAACAAAGGTGTGAGATTTTATGTAAAGCATTTCAAGCTATTTAAATCTCAAAATTTACATATTATAGCAGTTCCTCTGAAGCGACAGATATGCAATACTCTGTGTAAAATTTTAAATATAACATTAGATCTTATGCTGAAGGGCCTAAGTTGATGGATATACAAGGATAAATGTATGCCAAGCTTCTAGTTGATTTATATTTTTTCCCTTGGATTAGGTTTTGTTCATTCACTATTGAGACTTCTCGGCCTTGTGAAGAAAAATCAGAGCTAGAATAAGCAGTGTAACTGTACATTCAGCATAAACTAAATATTTTATACATGGGGAATTAAAAAAGAATAATAACTGTAACTTTGCCGCCGGCATAAACACAACGTTTTATTTGAGGGAAAGTTATTTTTTTTAAAATAATAATAAAAGTTAGTTTTGCTTTACTGGCGTTTTTTAAATAATGAAACAGCAGTATTCTATTTTTTTTTAAAGAGAATGAAATAAAGAAAATACAAATTCGTCTTGAATTTATGCTTCTGAAATCAATCTTTGTTACTTGCACTCATTCCCTGTTTACAAATCAAAAGTGCTAAATGTTGACACTGTCTCCAGGACAAATATAACGCCACATTCACCAGCAAGGTTTACAGCGCCCCACTTTTCTCAAGCGCTGATGTCCTAAGTGGTGCCAGACCCAACGACACAGTTGTAAGACTGGAATACACAGACAAAAACAGTTACGTCAATGTTGCAAGACAGTTTGGGATCATGGAGGATTTTAAGGTATATAGTCTCGTCTCAAAATCACATGTTCTTTTTAAGTTGAAAAGGGAATAATTTTTTTTTTAAAATTGCAAATCAAGATTTTAGTTCGAGGGGAATATCAATAATCAAAATGATACCAAAGCTAGACATAGAGCTAGGGTACGTACAATTTTGATGATGAATTTTGTGAATACTCTTCATTTTAAGCATTTTGATATGCTTTTCAAAAATGACAAAATCTCATGATAAATCAATTCAGAGACCCTTACAAGTTTACATTTTCTGAGAGCACATTGGGCATCTTATGGTTTAAAAGGAAATTGTTTTTATATTATGTGTGTTGATGTTGACCTTGACCTTTACAGATTGAGATTTCAACCCCCACCTAATACTCCATAAATTGTTCAAACTACCATAGAATCAAGTTTTTGAGTGATAGTTTTCTTTTAGAAAATATAGGTACTTGAAAGGAAATGGTAATTTGTGGGATTTGTCTTTTCATTCACTACCTTCAAATTTCTGTCACACAAGATACAAGGTGGAGAAGCATGAACTGAGTTCAGAAATTACTTTTTTATTGATGCTAGTAATACATTTTTCATTAATGAACACTAAAGAAATACACAAACATAAATATATTTTAGTCTCTTAAGGGCTAAGTATTTTGAAAGGAATCTTTGTCTTTTCTGTTCAATTTCCACCCTTTCCCAAACAAAGTTTGTAACAATACGACTAAGTTTGGGGCTAAAATTGTCAATATCAGACTCTTGTGTTGCCATCTCTTCTAGAGCGAATACTGTTTCATTACTAGCACAGAAAATATCTCTAAAATTATTGCTTTCATTATTTAATAATTCCAATAAAGAAAGTCTGTTTTGATTTTACAATCTAGATTCGGACCACTTTCAGCATGAGATGACCATTTTAAAAAAAAACATTTGAGCAGATTTCATGACAAATTAATTACAAAGCAAGTCCTGATAAAAGCAATTTAACACAAACAGAAACGGAGATAGGATATAAATATATATATATTAATACCCATTCTTTGGCTGATTTTGTATTAAATATGAGATGTGTAAAAACTAATGTCCAGTCTTCCATCGTCCCACAGGGCAAATATCAGTGAAGCCAATAGTTAATTGTAGCGAAGAGTCCTGTTTTCAAATTGTCTTATCTGGGTCAAAAGTTATTTAATTTGTTGTTTCTGTCTGTCCTCAAAAATGCCATGTTCTTATTGTAAGACTTTGCCTGTCCACAGTCTGGCGTCCCCAGGGTGGGGTACAACGGTGTCGTAACATTTACATTTAAAGGACGAAGGGTTTACATAGCACCTCCCTCTCCTTGGACGGGATACAACCCAAGCTGGAACTGATCCAACCACATCAACATTACACTTCTGGCTTAATGAGCGGGCATGGAAACAATGCATGCTGTGATTACAGATGCCACCACGTCCATCCTACTGTTGTTATCTAGGACCAGGGTGTGTTTGTCTTCTTTTAAATCATGCCGGGGAAAGTTTTAATCCGAAATGTCCCGACCATGAGAAGAAGTTGTTTGGAAGAAGTGTTTATAAATGAAAGGGGTACAACTCTTGATCTCAAGGCAACAAACTACGAACCTCGACCTGTGCCAGGCTGTACTGTGCTTTCTAGCTTCAACCTGCGCAAGATTGTGCTGAGCCTTCTCGTTCATCCTGCAGCAGATAGTACTGAGCCCACTCGCTACCTAGACTAATGTTTTAATTAGTTCAACATGTGAGGAGAAATCAAATCCAAGTTAATGTTCATAAATATTTTGTGTGAAGGTGCAATGTTTCTTTAATTTTGGAATTATTTATTCCTCTGATACTTCTTATTGATTTTAACAATTTACTGTCTTTTGAAAATTTGAATGCTTCTCAAGTTTTAAAATGCCTCTCCAATTACTGCTGTATGCTTTACTACAAATATTTATTTTTGCTGCTAAGCTCTTACTTTTTAAAAAATGTATTATCTTATTAACTGGAATGTAAAATTCTTCTTGTTTTGGCTTATATGTGACCTTTTCAATTTTAAAAGTTGACTCCATTATTTCTTGTTATTTTAACATTTCAAATGTATTTCCACTGCCTTGGTATGCCATGTTATGCATATCCTAGTTTTGTGATAATCTACAAAGCAAATTGTTCTCCTTAAAGTGGTCATGGACTCACTCTGAGGGTTCAATCCTTTTTTGTCCAAGGACAGGGTCTTTTTTTTTCCAGATATTTACTTCCTAAAGGGATGTCAACACTTAAAATACAAAACTATGTTGTTTTCATAAAAGATTCACTTTGCTCAGAATTAAAGAAATATTCTATTTAATGACTGTGATAATTTTTGTTGTCATTAAACTTCTGTTAGAAATACAGAATAAGTCCCCAAACAGTAAAAACCCGTTTTCTTTTTCATGTTTCAAATTATTAAATTCTGGTAAGTTGTTTTAAATTGTATCACAAGAAACAAAAATAATAAATAAATTGTGTCATTTATAAATTACATTCCCTCCCCAAATATAAAGAGCCAAAAAAATGTAAATTTTTATATTTTATTTACTTTAAATTAAATGAACAAAAATAACATACACACAAATGAAATATTTATATCAAATTGAAAACAGTAAAAATTATTTTGAGCTCTAAATCGGACAAATGGTAGATTTTTTATTGTAAGATATGAAAAGATAAGGTGGTTTTTATTAATCCCAATAAATTGAAATTTGCTTTGATCGCATTTGCAAACACTGTTGTTTTCGTCTTGAAACCTGCACCATTAAGATATACTATTTTATGCCTAGCTTATATTGAATGTGGTTTTTAAGTCCCCTGTGTTCATTAATAACCAAAAAGTGTGATTAGATCTTTTTTTCTTCTATGGTGTCTGGCATGATAAAATAATTATTTTTATTCCTGAGAATGTTACTGAAGCCAGTGGAATTTTATACATACCTTGCTGCAACTCACTCTTGTTAGATTGGGTGAAAAAGTTGTAGGATTTTGTACTGTGTCCAACGTTTGGCTGGCCGATGTCACGTAGTGGGTCATCAGGAAATATGGAGAGGAAATAAAAGGGTCTAGCTAGACTACTTCTTGCAAGATAATTTGTTTTAGGAAGTGCCCTTTACATCTGCTAAAAAATAAATTCTCTACACTTAACTAGTTGAATGAACAAAATTCGACCCACTTAAAGATTATTTAAAAAGAAACAAAAAAATTAACCCTGAAAATGAGAGTCATGCAATCAAAAATGTTTAATCCGGCCAGTTTCTTTCTTTCAATTTCTCCGATGTTTTCTTTCAAAGCTCATTCTGTCCCCCCGTCTTAACATCTGTAACCACAATGAACTCAGTCTTAATCTTTTCCTTCGTGACATATTTATTATTGATATAAGCAAATCGAGCTGATTCTTTCCTTTAATTCGGATTTAAACCCCACTAGTTCCCACACTCTAAACCACTGCTCCCAAAAAGGCTCCAAAACATTCTATAAATAGTTATTTATATCTGTCGTATAGTTGCATATATTTGGCGCAATTCTAATGGGTTGTTTTGGGCTCAATGTGCAATTTTTACGTCATGTTATTGCAGCAGGGGAGCTATTCAATACGTCATTTAAAATATAAATGCTGGTTTGATTTTCAAGTTTTCCTTTCATTTAAAAACACATGTGATCAATGCAAGTTTGTAAAACTGTGAATATAATTGTTTTTTTTTTGTTACTTTATTTTTTTTCATTGGTTCACATGATTTATTTTTTAAAAGAACAAAAAAAAAACTAAAAACCACACCAGTTAGATAAATTATGGCAAACTTCAATTTTGATGTGAAATTAATCACATGTAAATGCAAATGGGTTGGTGGTGGTGGGGGGGGGGGATGAGTATTTCTTTGTGACTATGACTTGACTTCCTGCCGGCAGCACTTTGAAGTGATGTCTTCAGCTGAAGATTTTTTTTTTTTTTTTTTTTTTTTTTTTCATTTGTTTATATTATTTATTTTTTAAAAAAAAAAAAAAAAAACTAAAAACCACACCAGTTAGAAAAATTATGGCAAACTTCAATTTTGATGTGAAATTAATCACATGTAAATGCAAATGGGTTGGTGGTGGTGGGGGGGGGGGATGAGTATATCTTTGTGACTATGACTTGACTTCCTGCCTGCAGCACTTTGAAGTGATGTCTTCAGCTGAAGAACTATCATCCTTTGGTAAAAATGTACACCTGTTTTATAATACACTTGTTGTAATTATTCCCAGACTTACAAAAAACTGTAAGATTGTGGCACAAAAACTTGTCAAAGTAACATCATCAAAATATTATTTTTTTTTTTTTGAAACTAAACATTGTTCTTTTTCTTTTTTAAATATAAAATAACAAAGAATATGTGTTTTGTTTTGGATCAAAACAATTATAGAATTCCAACTCCAGCTTAACATTGTTATAATCACGTTATGTTTACTTTTCCTAAAAATCAAACCTCACATTTGCTTTGCTTTGAACATTTGACTGGAATTCCATTGTTTTAAGGTATAATATATATATATATTTTTTTTACATCATATTTATCTAATCTAAAGCCATAATATTATTTTTTATTTTCAGCTTGTAAATTGATTTATTTTAAAGCATCTATTTATTAAATGTAATTTTGTTTGTTCAAACTGTGTTAACACTGTAATTTTATAAATTGTGTTAGCACTGTGTGATTTTATAAATTATGATGCCAGTAAAGTATAACTCTATGAACATTCTGCTCAAGATTACTATAAATAATTTTATTTCCTTTATTTGGTGTTCCATGAATAGCTTTTCTTATTTTTTGAGCCAACTCTTGTATGTGTAAATTTCAGTTGAGTTTTTTTTAGTTTTTTTAGCTTCCAAATTTTCTACCTCACCAAACTACATTCCCTTTTATTATTTTTTTCCCAAAGCGAAATGTGTGAGATGGCCATTTTAAAAAACAAAACAAAAAAAACAAGTCCCGCAACTTAATTCAGACGGCTCATGTTTTTAACATAAGATCAATAAGCTGTCTCAAATTCCACTGATGTGATGCTTCATTCAAATGCATTCATGAAATGAGGACAGGGTGGCGGCTAGTTAATTTTTTTTGTCTCAACCAGTTCCTTTATTTTTTTTTTTTTTATGCTTTTCAGAATTGTTTCTCTGTGCCTTTTTTGGATTAGACAAATCCAATTGATTAATTTTCCTTTTGAAAAAAAAAATTATTATTTTTTTATTTTAAAAAACAAAACAAAAAAAACAAGTCCCGCAACTTAATTCAGACGGCTCATGTTTTTAACATAAGATCAATAAGCTGTCTCAAATTCCACTGATGTGATGCTTTATTCAAATGCATTCATGAAATGAGGACAGGGTGGCGGCTAGTTAATTTTTTTTGTCTCAACCAGTTCCTTTATTTTTTTTTTTTTTATGCTTATCAGAATTGTTTCTCTGTGCCATCTTTGGACTAGACAAATCCAATTGACTAATTTTCCATTTGAAAAAAAAAATTATTATTTTTTCTCCAAGTTTTGATTCCCCCTTTTACCTGTCACATTTTTAATTACTCATCATGAATTTCTTTCAGTTTGTAATCCACTTTGTGTAAAATAAAAATTCAAATTACATCTAATTAAAGTGCATTGCCTGTTAACGTTTTGGCCCTTGAAGCGAAAATCTTCTTCTAAAATAAATGATTAAATTAAAATGCGTTGGCACCAAAGGCGACTGTTTTATTTTATTTACGCCAAACTTCAGGTCTTCTGTTTATTTACAAAAGCAGTGTAATCTAAATGAGATAGCTGTCTTTTAATATGTAATGGGAAATAACATGGCCTTGTCCTATTTCCCTTTTAATGTGCATGCACGATATATCTTACATGATATACAGCTTTGATTACCTAATTGCTGTTGACCTATAGTTGTTACTAATTCATTGTGTCTTTTCAATGCAAACGTTTGTCTGACTCTCTGCCTTTAGTGGAAGATTTCCCATTTACAAATCAGGTGTCATTTCACTGTCAATCTTTTCATAACCACATATCCATTTTAATTTTACTATCAATCTTTTTGTCAACCCATATCTGTCTTGATATCACTGTCAAACATTTTGTTAACACGCGTTTTTGATCATTTCACTTTGATAATATTAAATTACTGCTTAAATTTATCTGTGACCAATCCACTGCCTAAGGGGAGGCTACTTGCTGTGATCATTCAACAAATGTTTACTTTTTAAACAGAAATTCTTCCAGTGTCATTATGCTGTTATCTACGCTATTGTCTCATATCATCATATTCTAATCTGAATTTATCTCAACATTCCTAAAGTTTATGCAATTTATCCTATGTCTAGGAATAAATAAAATGATATATTAATGCTATCAAAAGAATTATCAAAATAACACACAGATCAATAAGAAAAACTATTTAAGAAAACATTTTTTTTCTTGTATACCACAAATGTCCGTTATGATATTCAGGTATGCAAGTTATCTTAAGGAATTAGATATACATTTTTCCACTGTTACAATAATGTATTTAAGACTAAATGTTACATTCAGAATAATCCTTCTGGGCTAGAAATTGTCAAATAAGAAAAACAGTTTTTATAAGAGTGGCTGAAGCATAATATGTATATTTAGTTGTTGTTTTTTTTACAATGTCTTTTATGCATATTTTCATTTGAAAATATTTTAATTGTTTGTCATCTTCCTAAATGTTTCTTCTATTTTTTAAATGTCCGTTTGAATCTTATTTCACTTAATAAAACAGAAATAACATTACATAAAAAGTTTATTTACTTTTAAACAGTTCATTGAAAAACATACACTTACTTAGCAAATTTTTAAATATTAAATATATTTGAATTTCCAGCTTGTGATTTATAAATAACTT